CCCCAAAACCCCAAAACCCCAAAACCCCAAAACCCCAAAACCCCAATTATTTATCAAGTAATTGATAATAATAACATTTTGGTAAGAGAAAATGATACATGAAGACTATAGCCTAAAGGCTAAAATGAAGAGGTTCTTGAACCAAGACGATCCTGAACACTCTGAGAGTAATTTTTCCCAAAATAGCCGTCAGAATAACTCCCAGTAAGTTAGAAAGTCAGGCTAGGGTGGCAAAGCCTATGAAAATTTCTGATCCAACAATCTAATAATTTTCAGTATGCTTTAAAACTGGTTCAGAATTATAATTAAGGTATTATAGGGAACCAAGGAAACCAAAGCCAGCCTTTCCCAATATCAATTACCTAAGAGATCAGAAACAAAGCCCCCGAGGTTCTAGTATGAAATAATGAAATCCGAAATGACATTCCATTAACGGTGAATCGTAATACAAAGGCTAAACGCACACTAGACAAAAGAAGGAAAACTGGTTGAAACAATCAACATGTTAGTCTTATATGCTCATCTATAGTCTTCGCTGAATAACAAAGTTACAAGGATCATCAAGTGTGATCTGATCAGGGAGCCCAGGGGTAGAGAAGAAGGAGTTGTTTACAGTCAAGGAAGAGTTGAAAGAGAGTCAACAGTCAGCCCTGTTATAAAATCAATCAGCGAATTTGACTATGACAATCCTCTTTCTGAGAGACAGCATCGTAATAGAGGCAAGTCTGAGATCTCTAAGCATACTGAAGGGCCTAATATTTTATTCAAACTAGGAAATCTAGACGAAGCATTGCTAAAAGCTCAAACATTGTTAGATAATAAGCCTAAAGATGAGAATTATCTCTATCTTAAAGGGAGGGTTCTAGAAAAATTAAACAGAGAAAACGAAGCAGAGACTTGCTTCCAAGAAGCCCTTGAAGTCAATCCAAAATTCTCTCAAGCAGCATTTTATTTAGCAGCAATTGAAAATAAAAGAGGAAATTTTGAAAAATCTATTGATTTGTACAATTATGCTTTATCTAAAGATCAAATACCTGTTGGAAATTATAAAAATAATGCTCCAATACTACCTACAAATCTTAAGAAAGATGTAGGAAGTACTTTAAAACATGCTAATTTTTGTCTAAGACCAAGCCTTGCTGATTCTCTCAAGCCAGGAATCACTAATATTAGCAATAATAAGCTTAAATCATATGAGAAAATTACAAATTTTTCTACTACTATGAACCAAAAGAAGCTCACTCGACATAAGAGGATTAGCCACCCAGATCCTAAAATTCATAAATCCGGAAAAAAACCAAAGAATTTATCTCCAAAAAGCACGGCCAGAACCAAAACAATGGAAAATTCTCCAGTGCTTGAGCAGAAAAAGTCTGCCAAAGTAGGGAGACTCAGCAAAAATAGAGTCAAAAAGCATAAGAACAACTCAGAGAATAACCATAACAAGTACCCAGTTACTTTCTGCCCATTAGGTAGCAGTCTGAATAAAGCTGAGACAGTGAGTCTGTCCTCTGGAAACCAACCTACAACTAATGTTCAGAGCTCACAAGATGAGAAGAGTAAGAAGTCTTGACTACTAAAGGCTCGTAGTGCCACTTGGTATTCTTACTAGGCTTTCTTCATGTTTCCTGAGACTAATGCTTAAAAGCTGCTTAAAGTTTTAAATATGTATAATAAACCTGCTTATAGCCTCCCTTTCTAGCAAAGCACTTACCAAGTCAACTCAAAAGACAAAGAAAACTAAAAAGATGAATTTTTCAGACAGAATGCTATCTTCAAAGCTGTATTCGATTAAAAGGCAGGAAATCTTCTTGTATAATAAACAAGGAAAGCAGAAGGTAATTAATGTTCAGTCAGCATATAGAATGCTCCAAAGTCTCAAAACTCAAGCTTAAGCACCAGTCGAGTCAAGAAGAGTAAACCACAGAAGGCTCCTTCAAGATATTTTAAGTCACCTAAGTACAGTGCTCAAGTGAATCCAAATCCGAAAAATCAGCTTGCTACATCAAAAGTTTATAAATAACTCTAAAAGTAGTTGGAATTGCACCAAGCCTAGGCTAAGAGGAGCACTGAAAGTGGACTTGGCGGATACCTCTGGTCGGATGGTGAATTCTTCTGAGAAATCTGACAAGAATACTAAGCCTTTCACTCTGTTCAAAGACTGAAGTGCATCTAAAAACCGTAAGTTTAGACATGATTTTTAGAGAAAATAAATCTGAGGTATCACAATTCAACAAGTCAGAACGGGTCTGAGGTTGACTGAAGCGACACTTATTCTATTATTCAAAAGCATTTCAATAGTAATTTCTAAAGTTATGATGTGCTTTAGCTGATAGGAAATCAGTATGCAAGACTCAAGCTAGGACAGATCCCTTTGAATCTCCTTTTACAAGTCTTCAGAATAACAGATTTGATATTGATTTGAGTAAGGCTAATATTGCAGCAACATGAGTAGAAAGTAAGTCTATCTCTGAATAAAATAGAGAAAATCCATACTGAATCTAACTATGCTCCTGGAAACCATCATACAGAGATGGATAGCGAGTCATACACCCGAAACACTGACCTAAACTTCTCCAAAGTCTTACATACAAAATCTTCTGAGGCTTCCTTTACAGACCAGAACATGCCTAAAAAGAGCGACGATGTGATCATCAACTCCAAAAGTTACCATCCTCGGCTAAATCCACCTTCTAAAATCCCACTGAAGGATGATCAAAGGGTGTCAAATTTATTAAAATTATAAGAAATTCAGTAAATTCTTCCAAAAAAGGGGTTTTGGGGTTTTGGGGTTTTGGGGAG